CGAATAAAAGTCAAATCCGCTTCCAATCCGTTATCAGCTTTTTTTCAAATCCTGCCAACGCCTAGACCGTTCTGGGTGTAAATAGTCCTTTGGAGTTGTAAACAGTGAAATCCTGTCAAAACAGAGCGAGAATCTGTCAGAACTTTCTTTACCTTCCTTTTTGACATGGCAATTCTTTGAACTTTTTATCGTTTTTTAAACTCCCCCAATCATCACAATGGCGACCATCATCAGCAAGAGCCAGCAGGGGGCGGAGAACTTCCTGAAGATCGCCGTCGTGCCGTACCGCGAGCTGGAGCAGTCGCCAAAGAAGGACAATGTAAGTTGAGACGGTTCATTTCGAAATTCTAAAACTGATCACTCAAATTTCCTCCACCACCACCGCCAGCAACCACCGTGGATCCTCTTCTCCTACAACCCCAAACAGGACCTGGAGTCGATCATCGAAAGTGTCTGCCTCTCCTTTCAGCTCAACAGTTCATCATCACCTTCATCCGGTGAGGTAACAGGCTCCACTACTCCATTCTCCGCCAGCGAGTACGCCCTGCTGATGACGCCCGACAAGTCCGGCACGCCCTATCCGCGGTACATCACCGAGGAGAACCGCAACGAGGAGATCACCAATGGGGCTCTGGTTCAGCTGTACTACTCACCGCGGCGGTACGTCCTCAGACTGCTGGAAAAGCTCAGGGAGAACTCCTCCACTTCCTCTGCCACTTCCACTCCTCCCTCCACCGAAGACAACAACAGACTGACCACGCTGCGGGAGATTCTGGAGCACTCCGCCGACCCCGCCTTTGTGGTCGAATTCGACGCCCAGGGCGGCCTTAAGTGGCTGATGAGCTCTCTTCAAGCGAAGAACACCTTTACTGTGGAGGAGCAGGCGCTGGCGCTGGAGATCTTCCTCCGCACGATGGAGCACGACATTGTCCACTGGACGTCGGTGGACAAGGCCTTCATCGACTGCGTCGCCACCAACATCTACAGCCGCGCCGATCTGAACAGCACTTCAGGTACCTCAGAAAGAGGCGGCGGAGACAGCCTCGACCACGAGCGGAAGCTGCTCATCACCTCGCTGGCCATCCTCGAGGCGGCCGTCATCAGCTGTCCGGGGAAGTTCGTCGCCGAGATTGAGCGGCAGATTACGCTGCCCAGTCTGAATCAGCTGCTGAAGAACGATCGGCTGCCGGCGGTGCAGCAGAACGTGCTGGCGCTGATCAATGCGATCCTCGCTAGAACGGATGCAAATCGACGGCGGGCGATGGCCGCCACACTTACCTCGCGCCAGTTTAAGGACACCATTCTGCAGTACGTGGTCAACAAAAAGTAAGTCCAATCGAGCCCTTTTACCTTCATAAACATTATCAAACTTTTCCCTACTTTTTTAGACAACACAACGATACAGACAGCAGCAGCAAGGGAAGCATGGGCAGCAGCGAGATCACCCACCAACTCTACGTCCTGCAGACACATCTGCTGCATTTCTACGATGATAAACGCCAGTCGGGGGCCGCTTTCGACGACGCCCGCGACAAGGTCAAGGAGATCAGGGCCATTTACGCGCAAACAATGGAGAGGGATGGCATCGGCATGGAAACAACCTCCTCCTCAAGCCATTCGGGAAGGTCGGCCAGTCAGGCGAACATCTTCCGCTCGCAGAGCAGCCTCGCCTCGAACTCCTCCGGCGCCTCGGGCGCCTCGGGCGAAAAGTCACATTCAGAGGACTACGAGCGCTTCGGCTTCGCCAACACCGTCCACCCCTGGGAGACCTTCTACGACCCGCCGGGGGCGCTGGTCCTTGACTGCCTCCACTACTACGCCAAGGCGCACACGGACGACTTTGTGCGCTTCGTCATTGAGAACTCCAGCTACGGGGACCGCCAGCACGACTGTCCGCTGGTGGTGGCCGCCGGCGAGCTGGTCCGCCTCCTGCTCGCCCTCCTCGGCATGGGCGGCGAAGGAGGAGGAGGAGGAGGAGGGTCCAAAAACCCTCTGAATATAAACTCTGAATCCTCGCCCGGCCGCCTCGACCAGCACCACTTCTACCCGATGCTCTTCGACGGCGAGCGGCCCTTTGAGGAGCTCTTCAGCATCGGCCTGAGCCTCTTCAACCGCACCTGGCACGAGATTCACGCCACCGCCGCCGATATGGGCATCGTCGAGAGCTTCCTCGCGGAGAAGCTGCGGAAGACGCTGGCCAGCTCCGGCAGCAATTCGGCGACCACCAGCTGCTTCGACTCCTTCAAGAAGGAGGTGATGAAGATTAGCTACGCGGAGATCAATCGGCGGTGGAATGAGGAGCGGGATCGAAGGGACCGCCAGAAGGAGGAGCTGCCGGTGATTAAGGAGTTGAAGGGACTGCTGCGACCAGAGATGGTGGGCATTGTGCGGGCGCATCGGTTGAACTACCTGGTCCGGGGGACGAGGTTCGACAAGTACACTGCCAAGGGTGAGTGAAGTGCGGAAGTTTTAGTTTCTAACTTCTCTTTCTTTTCAGGCCAACGAGTGAAGGACAAATTTTGGTACTGCCGCCTCTCCTCGAACCACAAGACGCTGCTGTACGGCGACTGCGACGAGGACATCGCCACGAGGAGCTCCGGCCTGGAGGAGGTACTGACCAGCAAGTTCAACATCGCCGACATTGAGACGATTCTGGTGGGGCGGGAGTGTCCGCACATGAGGGACAGCAAGGGCGGGAAGAAGTCGACCACCTCGGCGCTCGCCTTTGCGCTGGTGAGTAAAGGCAGTGGCGATGATGATGGAGGCGTTGGAGGAGGAGGAGGAGGAGGTTCTGCGAATGGCTTCTCCTCGACCGCCTCCGTTTCAGGCCTCCCCCGCAGCCTCTGCTTCGTCGCCTCCAACGGCGAGATCTACGACTGCTGGGTCGATGGGCTCAGTGCCCTCCTCGACCGGCCGATGGTCAGCTCCGAGGCGGAGAAGGACGCGCAGATGCTCCTTGAGCTGGACATCAAACTCCGCCTGCTGGACATTGAGGGCATCAGCATTCCGGAGCGGGCGCCGGAGGTGCCGCCGCCGCCGGCCAACTATGATTTCGCCCTTAAGAATGGAAGTGGTGGTACTGGTATCACCTCTTGAAGACTTCCGCCTTTTTTTGTACTCCCTTGATCATGATTTCGCCAAAAGAGAATGAACTTCTTTTTCGAACCAAAAATTGGTCTCATTTTGTTTCGGTTTTTGTGACTGAGTGGAAATAGCCGCCGCCGCTGCTTTCAGCGTCGGCTGTTTTTCTGTTGTTGATTTTCTGGTCACATGTTCTTCTTTTTCTGATTTCAACAAGTTCTGAAGACATCATCTTCTTCTGATCTTCCCCGCCATCAAAATGACCATCGCCGAGCTGATCGGCGGCCTGCAGAGCAACCCCTACTTCGGCGCCGGCTTCGGCCTGGCCGGCCTGACGGTGGCCCTCNTGATACTCGCCTGGACGGGCATTCGTCGCTACGCCTTTGTCACCTGCGAGGTGAACTCCAAAGGTAAAAAGTGTTCTATTTCTATTTCTCCCTCTTTATAGCCTCCACTAAACTCCACTTCCCATCCCCAGACAAGAGCTACCAGTGGGTGCTGGAGTGGATCACCCGGCAGTCGCAGCGCACCCAGCACGTCTCCATGTGCACCGAATTTTACGAGAACGAGGTGGGCCGCATCAGCACCCGCTTCGCCTTCATTCCCTCGCCGGGCGTGCACTTCTTCAGCTACCACGGGCGGGTGCTTCGCTGCGAACGCGTCCGCGAGCAGATGGACGCCCTCGCCGGCCGGCCCTACGAGGTGGTGACGCTGACCACCTACGGCCGCGACAAATCGGTCTTCACGGACATCTTCACCGAGGCGCGGGCCATCGCATTGGCTGAGGTGGCCAACAAGACGGCCACCTACGTCCCTTTTGGGCACGAGTGGCGCGTCTTTGGGCAGGCCCGCGCCAAGCGCCCCCTCGAATCGGTGATCCTCGACGACGGCGTCAAGGAGGCGGTGGTCCNAGCGATCGCCCTGGCCGAGGTGGCCAACAAGACGGCCACCTACGTCCCCTTCGGGCACGAGTGGCGCGTCTTTGGGCAGGCCCGCGCTAAACGACCCCTCGAATCGGTGATCCTCGACGACGGCGTCAAGGAGGCCGTGGTCCAAGACCTCTCGACCTTTCTCGCCTCGAGCAGCTGGTACCAGGAGAGAGGGATTCCCTACCGTCGCGGCTACCTCTTCTACGGCCCACCGGGCACCGGCAAGTCGAGCTTCATCTTCAGCCTCGCCGGCCACCTCAACTACTCCATCTGCGTGCTGAATCTCTCCGATCCCTCGCTGACCGACGACCGCCTCCTTCACCTCGTCAACACGGCGCCCCGCGACTCGCTGGTCCTCCTCGAGGACATTGACTGCTCCACTAAGGGAGGATCCTCCTCCCACCAGGACGACGGCCACCCGGAGCGCTGGGAGGGCCTCAGCCGGGTCACCTACTCGGGCCTGCTGAACACGCTGGACGGCGTGGTCGGGAGCGACGCGCGCATCCTCATGATGACCACCAATCACATTGACCTGCTCGATGAGACGCTCACCCGACCGGGCCGGGTCGACCTGAAGGTGCTGGTGGACAATGCCAGCGACGCGCAGCTGAGGAGGGCCTTCCTCTCCTTCTTCCCGGCGATGGCGCCCGAAGAGGGGGACCGCTTTGTGGCCCACGTCCGGCGGAGCTACCCGCGCCCGGTCTCCATGGCGCGCATTCAGTCGCACTTTCTCCTCCACCGAGATCGGCCGGAGGCGGTGCTCAAGGAGCCCATTGTTTAGAGAGGGCGGAGGAGGATGATGTTATTGTTGTTGAGCTTTGATGAGGAGGAGGATGTTGTTGGTGTTGTAAAATAGAACCCATCTAGAATTCAAGTTTTGAGCCCGAAGACAAACTGGTAAACAACGAAGGAGGAGGCATTCCTCCCCTTTTTTATTGTTTTTGTTGTTGCTGTGGTTGTGGTGGTGGTGTTATATTATTTTCACATGTTTTAGATTCGACTCGGGTAGAGCATGATGCGCACCCGTCTGCCCATCGCCTTCGACGGCAGGTTTTTGTGGAACTTGGCCCGGACGGCGCCGGAGTTGCCGTGCGGACGGGTGACCTTGCCCCAGATGACGCGGAACTTGCTGGTCTTGCCCTCGCGACGGGGCACGGGCTTCTTCCTGCAAAAAGCGATGACAAGGAGAGATTTGTTAGTGTGACGTTTTGCAAAATGAAATCGAAATGAAAACACTCACGTCTTGGCCTTGTAGACGAAGGCGACGCGCTTGCCCAGGTAAAAGTCCACCTCGGGGCGCTTGTTGACNTTTGTGGAACTTGGCCCGGACGGCGCCGGAGTTGCCGTGCGGACGGGTGACCTTGCCCCAGATGACGCGGAACTTGCTGGTCTTGCCCTCGCGACGGGGCACGGGCTTCTTCCTGCAAAAAGCGATGACAAGGAGAGATTTGTTAGTGTGACGTTTTGCAAAATGAAATCGAAATGAAAACACTCACGTCTTGGCCTTGTAGACGAAGGCGACGCGCTTGCCCAGGTAAAAGTCCACCTCGGGGCGCTTGTTGACGCCCTCCAGCTTCAGCAGCGCGGTGTTCTCGTACTGGTTGCGCAGCGAGCGCTTGTACCCGGTGAAGATGCCCTTCACGTACAGTCTAGGGTGGAGGGTGATGATGATTTCAATGGTTAGTTGGCCATTTCGAAAGATGTTCAAAAAAAGTCCAAAACAGTCCACGACTTACCGGCCTGGGGCGGCGAGGTTGCGGGCACGCTTCTGCTTCGGTGCCTTCGTCTTCTCAGCAGAGGCGGCGGCTTTTGCTGGAGCGGCGGCGGCCGGTGCAGCAGCGGCGGCCTTTTTCGAAGCAGTAGGCTTCTGAGGTGCCATTTGTGGTGGTGGGAGGGGTGGTGATAACCGGAAAGAAGGTTCAAGGAGGGGTTGCTCGAAGTCAACAACACTTGCTGCCAACACACAAGCCAAGGAAAGAGCGAGCTCAGGGGAAAGAGAGGAGCACTGCTGCCGGAAAACACAGCACGTGTGGGCGCCGCTCTGAAAGGACGTGCCGGTGGTACGCGCTATGCGACGGGGTCGCCGCTGCTGCAGTGGCTGCCAGTTTTGTTTTGGCTGGACTTTTTTTGACAGAAAAAATAGAAATCTTGATCTTCAGAACTTCCGAACTTCGACACTTTTTTCCTCCTGAAGATCATCACCACCGCCACTGTCACCACGATGGTCCTCGAGCCGCTGTCGACCAACACCC